AGGGGGTGTGGAAAGGAAGGATTATATTTGTACTACTCAAGACAACGTTCAGTTCCACCAACCACAGCCTGGCCTGTTTGGGCTGTACAGAGGAATCCTGTCTTGTCTGTATAATTCTGTATAATTCACAGATTTATCCATTGATTTATTTATTCATTAATTCAATACTTGTTCTATGCTACTTGATAGCAAGACTTGCAGGACAGTTGTCCTTTCTTTTAAGACATAGATGCTGACCAGTACCATCTAGCCTGAGAATACCGCTTAAGAATCACTAAGTTGTAACTGATGTAGCTCAGTTATAAATAATTGATTAGGGTGCACTAGGTCCCAGGTTCAATACCCAGCACCACAAAACAGTTCACGAGGTTGGTCTTGCCTGGAATAGTGCTTTCCAAGGCAGTACAGGTTATCTAAAGCAATTGTGGTGACTGGGGAAAGACCTATAAAGCAGGAGTCAAGGGCTTTCTCCTCTTCCCATAGCTCCTGAAAGTCATGGGTACAAATGAGTAAGTCTTAATTCTTTTCAGTTTGTCCAAAATACACATTTCCAACATTATCAGATCTCTAACATTAGCTGTTGGCAAAACGATGGGGTTTCGGGTTTCATGTGTATAAAACAAAAATGGGTCAGATTTTTATTTTATAACAGCCTAAGATGCTTTGGTTTTTTTTTTTCTTTTAAGAAAATATTCCCTTTGGGGATGGAGAGATAGCTTCATGGTTGAGAGCATTTCCCTACTCATCCACACCCACGCCAAGCCGTTCTCGATGCCTATAACTCCAGTTCTACATACACAGACACAAATACACAAAAAAAAAATAAATAGTTTTAAAACGAAATAGTCTTTATAATAGCAGTGATACAAATAATGTCAAGCTCTTTCCCCACAGATCACCACCTGTTTATGGCGGGGGGGGGGGGGGTCGATCCTGAGCGTTGTACAGAACCTGAGACTTGTCCATTTAGACAAACACTCTACCTCTGAACTGTATGCATGCACTTGCTCATGTATACCTGCTCTCTTCTCCTCTCTCTTCTCCCCTCTCTTCTGCCTTTTTATTTTTTGTTTTTTGGAAACAATGTCTCTCTGTGTAACCACGCAGGCTGTTCTGGAACTTACTCTGTAGACCAGGCTGGCCTCGAACTCAAGCATCTGCCTGCCTCTGCCTCCCAAGTGTTGGAATTAAAGAAATATGCCACTTCTGCCCGGCTTGACATGATATTTTCTTAACAAGGCTATTTCACTGTAAGCTTTGTTGTCTACTGTTACCCCATTCAGTATCAAACCAGTTACTGGAAACTCACCATCACAGAATTGTTTGAGGAGTTCTTTTAGTGAACATACCAAACAGTGGGTTTCATTATATCTTCACACACAGACATCAGGTACTTTGTTCATTATAGCTTCATACACAGATATCAGGTATTTGTTCATTAGATCTTCATACACAGATATCAGGTACTTTGTTCATTATAGCTTCATACACAGACATCAGGTACTTTGTTCATTAGAGCTTCATACACAGATATCAGGTATTTGTTCATTAGATCTTCATACACAGATATCAGGTATTTGTTCATTAGAGCTTCATACACAGATATCAGGTATTTGTTCATTCGATCTTCACACAGCTATCAGGTACTTTGTTCACAGTCTTTCCCTCATTTACCCGCTCTGTTCTACCTCCTCGCCTAAGAGTCTCCTTTTACTTTCAATATTCAAATATATATTTGAATCTAGTTTCCATATATGGGAGAAAGCATTTATCTTTGTGAGTCTCACTTATTTCCCTCAACACAATGCCTTCTGGTTATACCCATTTTCCTGCAAATGATGTTTGTTCTTTATAGCTGAATAAAACTCCATTATGAATATACACCACATTGTTTTTATCTGTTCATTCACTAATGGAACACTAGGAACATTCCATGTCTTGGCTATTGTGAGCAATGGTGCAATAAATATAGATAGATTAATGTATTTCTATGATATACGATCAGGATTGATGAGGCTGGATCACACAGTAGTTGTAATTTTAGGGTTTTTTTTAAATAATAACTGCCATACTGCTTTCTGTGTATACCTCCCCTCTTCATCCTCTCTGGCATTGGTAGTTCTTTGATTTCTTTGGAAGGGGCAGTGTACATGCTCCATATTCCCTTGAGACGGGCTCTCACCGAATTTGCGGCCAGCAATCACCATGTCTTCACCCCATCCTGTGCTGGAGTAAGACACACACGACCACAGTAAGCAGCTGGGGATATGGACTCGAGTTCTCATACTTACCAAGCAGATGCCCTTTCTTACCCACTGAGCCTTCTCTCCAGCGCTTGCTTGCTGACAGCCATTCTGATGCAGGTGAAATGAACCTAATTACATTTACCTGGTGACTAAGGCTGCTGAACATTTTTTTATGCATGTATTGGCCATTTGTACTTTTGAAAGATCTCTGGTTAATTAGTCTGCACATTCCATGTGCTGTGGTTCTAGCCTGAATCAAAAGGACAAAGCAAGCACAACACCAACATTCATCTCCCTCTGCTTCCTGATCGAATACATCCCACCACCTGCCTCAAGCTGCTGCCATCAAGATGTGTCCACTTCGATGACTGTACCCTCAAACTGTGAGTCAAAGTACCTTTCCTCTTAAAGATGCTTTTCCTGGCTTGTTCTTTTGGGCCACCAACCAGCTCCCAAATCATGACACAGAGACTTATTAGTTATGAATGCTCAGTCTTAACTTAGCCTCATTTCTTGCTAGCTTTTATAACTTAACCTATTTCTCTTCATCTAGATTTTGTCTCAGAGCTATTTACCTACCTTCCTTCAGTCCTTCCTTTCTGTATATCTTACCTTCCTGCTCCTCCAGTCTCTGGCTGACTGGCTTCCAATGCCAGGCCTGTCCCTCTTTCTCCCTCATTCTCTCCATTCTTCTCTTTCTCAAGCCTAGATTTCTCCTACTTATTCGCCCCACCTGCAAGTTCTGCCTATCCCTCTCCTGCCTAGCTATTGGCCATTCAGCTTTTTAGTAGACCAATTAGGTGCTTTAGACAGGCAAGGTGAAACAGATGCAGCACATCTTTACATAACTAAACAAATGCAATACAAATAAATGTAAAACACCTTCACATAGTTAAAGTAATGTTCCACAGCATAAACAAATGTAATACATCTTTGCCTAGTTAACGTAATATTCAAGAACAGTTATGAATTTGGTCACAGCAACAAGAAAAGTGATTAACACAAAAAAAATAAAAAAGAAAAAAAGAAAAGGGATTAACACGGAGTCATAAGTAATATGAAATTTTTGCCCTCCCCAAATATTTGCATGTTAAAATTCTAACCATAATTTGTTGATTATATGATGCCTTTCGGAGGTAATAAGTTCATGAATGAAGCCCCTTCCGAATGGGATTAATGTCGTCTTAAGAAGACCCACCACACTCAACATAGTGGTGCATACTATTAGTCCCAACACTCAGGAGGCTGAAGCGGAAAGATAACCAATCAATGCTAGCCAGATTATATAAAGATAATGTCTCAAAAACGCTAAACCAAATCAAAAACTGAATGAACAAGAGACATTAGGGCTTTTGTCCTCTCTAACAAGAAGACTGCAAATTGCAAGCCCCTACCAGACACTACATGAGCTGTGAGTTCGATTTTGTATTCACAGCCTTCCAAACTGAGAAATAAAGTTCTGTTGGTTAAGCCACCCAGTCTGTAAGACTTTGCTGCAGCAGCATGAACTGAGTGTGAGTCAATAAAAAACTGTTGTAATAGTTACCAGTGTGAGCTGTCTTTTATCCTTTCCTCTAATCATAAAGTGATGTGGGATTTCCCTCTGTATGCTGTGATTACCATTAATTAATAAAGAAACTGATTTGGGCCTATAGCAGAGCTATAGGGGAGCAGAGTCAGAGAGAAGCCATGGAGCTTCTGCCAGAGACACACACCAAATCTTGCCGGTAAGCCACAACCATGTGACAATACACGGATTAATGGAAATGGGTTAAATTAAGATATAAGAGTTAGCCAATAAAAAGCTAGAGCTAATGGGCCAAGCATTGACTTAAATAATACGGTTTCTGTGTGATTATTTCTGAACTGAGTAGACGGGAACAAACAAGTGGTCCCCTAGATCAATAAAGCATAAGCAGGTGCCTTTGTGAGCAATCCTGAAGACAGATTCTGTCACTGTTGTGGGGTTATATGAAAGTGAAATACTTAAACCTCTGTGAGGAGTTCCCTCTTTCCAGTTTCTTTTCCTGGTATGTTACTAGAGTATAAATAAATTTTTTATCCATATTTTCAGTCTTTTAGATAAATCTGCTACCAACTTAAGCAATCTCTAGATGTTTTTCTTTCAAGACACTTGGGTCACAGAAAGTTAGTAGCCACAATTATTTAATGTCTTCCAACTAGAATTCATGTTCTAATTCCAAAGCAACAAGCTCACATAGTAATTATTTCTGGTAATGCAATGGAATCTTGGTGTGCAATAAATTTATACATAGTGCTATCCCAGAGCCTTGCTTTAGTCCATGATATCATATGTCTCTGGGTTTTATGGAGTCCACTCTGTGTTGATTGAACTATGCAACAACTAGCAGAGAAATAATAGTGGTAAACTTCCAACCTTCACTTGGGGGGTTGCCCAAAGTCTCTCCTCAACTATCTCAGGCAAATACAGTCTTGTTTCTGAAAGTTCCCTCATTCATGTAAAAAGTTTCCTCTATTAATTGAAAAATGCACAGAATCAAATGGAAAGTTTCAAAGCCACCCCAACTCTGTTCATATTTTGTTCAATTGTTGATTCTATGCTATTTCATTAAATGCATACTAATTAGTTCTTTTTAGTAGGAGTTATGGAGGTGGGCTGTGTTCTGTCCTGGGGTACTCTATGTTGTATAGAACATCAGCTGTCAGGCTTGTCCCTTGTCCTAAATTACAAAACAGCAATTTCACCTGACTTAGATACATATACTAAGACACAATGACTTGGTAACTTGTGTAAGCAAGTAGTGCCCCAAGATGTTGGGCACACAAAACTTACAAAGAACAGCCATCAGCTGCATAGCATAATCATAAGGCCCAAATTCATAATTTATTAATTTAAAATACCACTTACACTTCTAATTAAATCAACAACACATGGAATTATCAAACCATATCAGAAACACCATGCTTGCGAGTATATCAGATATACCAGATCAGTGAACAATAAAAGCTCCTCGTAGACAACATAAAATCCTAAGAATGTGGCATCATATCACACATCTACATGCCATTTTGCCAAACCTCCCAGTGTGCATATTACAAGATCTCCAGTCAATGAACTTATGATTCTGTCCCTGGCTTTAGCTCAGTCCAATCCCCTGCTTTACACTGTTCACTTTGAAACTGCAAGCGAGCCTGAACTGCCTAGAAAGCTCTGCCCTAGATAGATCTGATGTTTGTGAAGTGACCAGACATTTGCATCAGCTCTCCACCTTTGTTCAGGGGTAAAGTCTATTTAAATCTTGTGGACACTCTTAACCCTTTCTCGGCCTCTGTGCTGCCTGTGAAGTGTGTTCCAATCCCATAGACTTTAGCGATGAAATGGGCTGTAAAACCGAAAGTGCCATGGTCATGACTGTCAAACAAATCAGGAGGATCAGTGAGTAAAGCCATTGAAACTGCGGTAACTTTCAAACTTACTGTTAGTTAATAAATTCCGACACTAGAAAGATACAAATGTTCTGGAAAAGTTTGTTTATGATGGAAGGAAATCTAGTTGCGAAATTTTCGGTTTCTAGACAAAACCATGGCCACTTTAAATTGCAAACGCTCAATTAGTAATTTGATTTTAAAATAACACTGAATTTGAGCCATCTTTAGGCTAATAGCCATAGAAAGGAAAGTAGACAGATTCTGTTTCTTTTCTTCTCCACCTTGTATGCCTCCTCCTCAGTCAGTCTGAGTGAAGGCTAAGCAGTTCTCACCAAGATGGTCCCATGTTAGCCATCTTTGCACTCTTTCCATCTGGCATCAGGAAGCAGCTAGGTGATTTGCAGGGTCAGGTGCAAAATTAAATGCCATACCCTTTGTTGAAGAAGAATTGGGACTTTCAAGATAGTGACAATGAGGCACTAAAGACCATGCACAGCTCCCTGCACAGTGCACATCCATGACAAGGCTAGCAAGTGCTGCAGGCTGTCTGTCTAGGAATTCTTATGAATGTTGCAACCAGCTCCTCTACCTGCATTCCATATGACATGGGTGTTACACAGCAGGCTATTCCCAATCACCTCTTAGCTTCTGTTTCCTTAGCCTATTTCAATCTTCTCACTTTGCCAGAAGGTCCTCTACAGGATGCAGAATAGCTCCAGGCTAATTCTCTTCTGACAGAACTTTTTCTCCCTACTCTCTGTCTCTTCCTCCCTCTCTTTTCTGCATTGGAGCAGTTGGGCAGCTTATTTACAAATTCTAAAGTTGGAATTAGATCCCAGCCCATACATCCCCTCATTTTGGGGATTATATCTCAGGAAATCTACCTGATGCCATGGAAGCCCAGTGGCATGAGCTGAAGAAGCCTCCTCCAATGCCTCCCCACTGTGGGTGAAGAACCCAACTTCCTCTCACAAATCTCTTTTATTTGGTATTTTCTACACTATTTTATATTCCTAAAACAAATGAAAAGATTTGGATTATATTTGGAACCATTTTTCTTCATAATAAGGACCTTGTATGAAAAATGGTCCCTTTTATGTTTTGAACTCTCAGTTGAAACTTCAATTGTAATTCCTATTAAAAAGTAGATTATCAGTGCTTCTGTTTCTGGCTCTGCCTCACCCTTCTGCACCGCTATCCTCCTGCAAACATGGTAGACATTATAAAACATGCTTGGTTTTCAGCTAGAAATGTGGCAGGTATTGACCTCATGAAATGACATAGCACAGCAAGGGCAAGGATGCTCTATCCGTTCAGGGGAGGCTGCCTTAGGACAGGAAATACAGTGGCTGGTGGGCAGTCTAAGCCTATTTTCTGGTGGGGAAAAAAGGCTAGAACTACAAAGAGGATTATGTTGGGCATGTTGAGGCTTGCGTGTGTTAAGCCTGACTGAGACCCAAGAGAATGCTGGCTATTAGGAGATGCAAACATTTTGAACTAGGCAGAGATAAGAAGGCAGAGAGACAGCATGTGATCTGGGTCTAAGCTGCTTTCACTATGAAGACAGTCGTGAGTTTTTATATTCACTTCAGGACAAGGTAGATCCTGTTGTGTAAATATTTTCTCTTATTTGGATATGTGCTCATATGACTAATATACAGAATATTACATTATACAGAATAAAATATTTAGGTTAACAGGTGTTAAAGACAAAATTAATTAAAATTATATCTTCTCTACATTTGTTTGTATTTTTGTTTGACAAGTATGTGCCAAATTTTTCTATTTTTGTACACTGTTATTTACATTAATGTTATAAATATTTTAGAGACTCTTGCCCTGGATTGATTCCTCAAATTTTTTTCTTAACCGATTTAAAATTATTACAGCATTTAGAAGGCAGAAGCATGTGAATTTCTGTGAGTCCAAAGATTGCCTGGTCTAGAAAACAAATTCCAGGCCAGCCAGGACTACATCATGAGATCTTGCTTTAAGGCATCTTGAGATCCTGCTTTAAGGAAATAGAACATTTCAACCTGAACACAATGGAATTTCATCTCCAGAGATTCCAAGATACAGATGCCACAAAATCACTAGTAAAAATGTAAAGGTATATTTTCTGGGAGAAAAGATCACTTAGACAGTGATTCCACTGAGCTATATAAAGCCTTAGATACAGGCATGCATGTGCATGTGTGTACGTGTGTGTGTGTGTACGTGTGTGTGTGTGTGTGTGTGTGTGTGTGTGTGTGTACGGGAGAGAGAGAGAGAGAGATTATTTATATTAAGAGGCAAAAATTTGGAAAGATATATACCATATGTGTAAATTGGAGAAGATAAACTATTTTGATAGAATCAAACTACACTTCTGAAACTTTGAGTTAATATGGTAATTGCTATTGTGGGTAGAGTTTCTCTGTGCCCTGGAAACTACTCCACAAATGATCATACAGAGACTTAATATTGATTATAAATGCCCATCCAATATCTTAAGCTTGTTACAAGCTAACTCTTTTTTTTAAAAACTTTATTTAACTTTATTTCATGTGCATTCGTATAATGTCAGATTCTCTTGAATCTGGAGCTACAGACAGTTGTGAGCTGCCATGTGGGTGCTGGGAATTGAACCTGGGTCCTCTGGAGGAGCAGTCAGTGCTCTTGACCACTGAGCCATCTCACCAGCCCCCCAAGCTAACTCTTATAACTTAACCCATTTCTATTAACTTGTGTGCTGTCCAGAGGCTCATTTATCTCATCTGTGAATTTCACATGTTGATTCTTTCATGTCTGGCTCGAGACTCCTCAGACTCTGCCCTTCTTCCAGCATTCTCTCTGCCCTGAAAAATCCTGCGTAGCTATCAACAAGTCAGTTTTTTATTAACAATGAGAGCAACACATTTTCACAGTGTGCAAAGGATTGTTCCATAACATGCTGTAGTTTGGAATGGAATTTTTTTATGTTGTTGGAGATTGAAGTCAGTTCTATCTATAATTTGATTTTTTAAGTATTATTTTTATTTACAAAAAATGTAAAAATGTGATCTTAAAGCATACTACCAAAGTCCATTTAATAAAGTCCTGGTCCCTAGTCTGTGGCACTGTTGAGAGATGTTGAAAACTTTAAGAAGTAAGACTTAATGGGAGGTACTTCAGTCATTGTGGCTGTTTCCTCCAGGGAGATTATGGGACACATACCACAAGCCCAATCCTTTTTCTCTTTCCTTTCCAGTCTAGGAGGCAAGTGGTTTGACTCCAGCATGTGCCCCTTATCATGATGAGCTGTCTTGCCCTAAGAAGTGGAATAAAACTTCTAGAACTGTAAACCAAAATAAGTCTTTTCTTGTGGTAAGTTTCTTATCTCAGGTATTTGTCCTGCTAACAGAGGCTACCTAACCGGGCAATAGCATAAGAGGTGGCATGACACAATGCTCACTCTGTGACAAATACCATCCTAAGCACTTTAGCAGAATTAACTGACTTACTGTCAGTGGTAAATATGAGAGGAACTAGACAATATAAACTTGGTATGACTATAAATGTTGATAAGGAGGTAGAGGCCTGCATCAGGTAAATGGCACAAAGAAGTAAGATGCACCATGGGAAACAATTTGCATTAGCAAACAGAATGAAAAGGAAGGAAAAAGATAAATGGGGAAGAGAATAATCAGAGTTATAAAAGCCAAGGTAGGAGAAGGTCTCAGAAAGAAAGGAAGGTTTAGTAGAATGAATGTTACACAGAGGTCAGATAAAAGAACGGGTCTGATAAGTGCCTACTGAACAAGTGGAAGATACTAGTTTCCGAGGCTGAAGCAATTTCATGGTGTAATGGAGTTGAAATCTTCACTGAGCTGAATTTGAAAGAAAATGGAAAATTGAGAAAGAGGGGTGGCACAAAGATGTGGAGAAGAAGTGTTAGCTTTTGAACCCTAGCTACTTGGCTCCCAATCCTGTGTCCGGACATGGCTTATTGTAGAGGACAGTACAAATAGTCCCTGGCTTACAGTTTTTTTTTTCAACTGTATGATTATGTGAAAACAAGATGCATGTAGTAGAAATTGTACTTTGAATTTTCATCTTTATCAGGCTAGTGATACTTGATAAAACATTCTCTTGAAATGTTGGGCAGTAGCTGCAAGCCACCAGACTAGCCTGAAGTGGGATTTTCCTTTGTATGTTATAAATATGTTTTATTAGCATTGGTTAATAAAGGAGCTACTTTACTTTATTATTTATTTTATTACCATTGGTTATTTTATTATTTACTTTATCACCATTGGTTAATAAAGAAGATGTAAGAGTTAACACAGTTTCTGTGTGATAATTTCGAGTCATGGGCAGTCTCCACCTACAAGTTGGAGCACCATAAGCTGACTACATCCACACAAAACCTGACAGAGTTTGAAAAGAAATCCTAGACACAAAAGAACAGAGTTAAATGCAGCTTCTTAGTAGCCGCATTTTTTTTTTTCAGATAGGCTCTGTTTGCTAATAGTGAGCAGGGGTGCCAAGGCTCCTTTAAGAGAGGTCTTCCTGACTCAGTATTGGCAGTGAAGGAAGGCTGTGTGGCTTCTTTAGGGGAGGGCTTGCTGGTTCATGCTAGTTGTGTGAACAGCTCTGGCTCTTTCAGGTGTCCAAGCACTTAAATGTCCTGTTAACAGGGTGTTTCAAATTGCTTAATGGTGACATAGACCCGACCTACTGAGACCCTGAAGCTGGGGTGGTGTGCATAGCTCTCTCTGCCATGTAAGACTGGTGGAGCCAATAGGCAGGGCTGCAGAGCTGGTCCTAGCCACACCCTCTAAGCATTTAAAGAAAAAGTGCTCCTGGTCAGAAAATGATTACAGATATGCAATAAAGACAGATTCAGACAAAAATAAACCCCTGAACAAGTCACAGTGTGCTTAAAAATATACATACTTATGCTTGTGAGAGAGAGTAAAAAGTATAGACAGAAAAAGACATACAGCCAGTCATAGACTAAAGAAGTAAAGATAATAAAATAAATATTAAAAAGTAATAGAGTGAAAAAACAAGCCACATAAAGATGGAAAATACACAGAGATTCTGGATTATATGTATATATGTTTTCTTTGAATTTTTTGACCACAGAATGATATGTGATTTGGGGGCTGCTAAGTTAAACCAACATAAAGGTATCTTCACTTCAAAATTTGGGTCTAAGGATATGTTGCTTTGGAAAAGAGGTTTCGTTTTTATTTCCACGGAAGATAGAAAGCTGTGGATTCCTTACTGGCTGATATGTGTAACATGAGGGGGCCTGCTTGTTGGGGTTTCTGTCCAGCCCTGTACCCCACAGCCAGCAAACCCCAAAGAAAATCACACAGAGGTCTCCAGAAGTTATAAAACGGATTGGCCCATTAGCTCAGGCCACTTATTAGCTCTTGTAGCTTATATTAATCCATTATTCTTATCTATGTTAACCACATGGCTCGGTACCTTTTTCAGCCAGGTAAGTTACATCTGCTTCTCGGTGGTCTGGGAAGGAATGTGGAGGGAGCTTCCTGCTTCCCAGAATACTCCTGTTCTCATAGCCCCGCCTCTACTTCCTGTCTGGTTGACCCACCTATACTTCCTGCCTGACCAATCAGTGTTTATTTAAAACATGATTGACAGAAAACAGACAATTCTCCCACACCAAATATGGTTTGATCAAACAAGATCCCCTGAAGAAGTGACCCAGATGGTCCAACATCAATGATAGCTTCAGGATTGCTGACTGAGATGGACCTTTCACACAGAATACCCCATGAAAAACCTGATTAAAAGAGCCCTCAGTCATCAGGAAGTAATCTATAGAACAATGTCCAAATTCCCTAAATGAATGTTTATAAATGTTTGTTTACATTTAAAGGGGGATATGCTATAGAGATGAGTACTTTTTATTGGTATGGATCTTGGTTTATTGATACAAATTTAAGGTAAATTTTGTTATATGCATATTTATGCTCTTGATAAAGGTATTGTGTTTGTGCAGCTCATTTAAAAATGTAATGCATAATAAAATATATAGGTTAATAGATAGTCATCTATAATAGTCAAGCTTGTAGTCATGTTAGTTAGGTTTTCTAGATGTACAGAGATATATTTCAAATGGATAGGTATTCTTCAACTCTTTTAAAGACCTACAGGCTATGACATTTAAAAGGTTTTAAGAACTTAGACTTTTCTCAGCAGTGAGACATGTCTGCTTCTGACAGCACCAGTTACTTCAAAGGGATGGATAGGCATTGAAAAACTCGTTATGGAATTTGCCTTCAATGTGACAAGGTTAGCCATTTGGGCAAGAAACTACTCTTGTCTGAACTGCTTGACGGTATACTATATGAAATGGACATGCAGGACCCACGGAAAAGTGGTTGCTGAACTTTCCAAAAGACAGAATGGTCCTTCAGAGTTCCTGCTTCACAGAAGAAACTGCTAGACATTCTGCATGACAGAAAATAAAGTAAACTTTACCAGTACAAGGCAAAGCAGACCTTCAAAGTTTCTGCTTTATGGAAAAGTCTGCCAGATACTATGGATCTGTAGGTTAAGGATGGATGTTCCAACATTACAGAAGAACTTTGGGTGACTGTCCAGGCAGCAAGATGCCTCTGCCCATTCTAGAGTTTTGGAAGTTACTTACAATGCACTTTCTGTTTACTTAGGTAATATTATATCCTTCTGGAGTCTTTAATGGAGTTGAAATCTAAATAGTTATAGTTTTCCTTAGTTATGAAAAAGGATAAATTGGATATAAAACTTTAGATTTACAAAGATAAAATAGATGATAGTATATTTGATTTAATTTTGCCAGATACAAATAGACTAAATATTGTAACTATAATTCTTGCTTGATAACTGTTTTTGCTATGTTAAAGTTAAAACCTTCCTTTTTATTTAGACAGAAAAAGAGAGATGATGTGGGATTCCCCTTTGTATGCTGTTAATATGTTTTATTACCATTGGTTAATTAAGAAGCTATTTTGCCCTTTAGCAGGGCAAAATACATCCAGGCTGGAAGAGATATAGAGAGAGAATAGACAAAGTCAGGGAGATGCCATGTACCTGCTGAAGGAGACAGACCCCCTGGAACCTTACTGGTAGGCCACAGCCTCGTAATACACAGATTAATAGAAATGGGTTGAATGGAGATGTGAGAGTTAGTTAATAAGAATCCTAAGCTAATAGGCCAAGCAGTGTTTTAATTAATATAGTTTCTGTGTAATTATTTTGGGTCATGGGCAGCCAGGAAATGAACAATCTGTGCCTACACTAGTTACTACTCATGATTGTAAACAATAGTCATTTAACAGTGCATTGTGGTACCAAGCACAGATGTTCTGTAGATTAGGTTTCCTAAATACACCTTCCACTTAATAATTTCTTCAACTTCAGTTTATTAGGGTTACCCATATCCTGGATCCTTGTGTGAACAGGTCAGCAACAATGATTCCTGTGTGACCAGGATTTCTGAGTTTGCACAAGACTTGATGTAGATTTTTAGGGTCCTTACTAATTCATGATCAGCATCCTGTTCCATCCTACCACCAAATGAGGATTCAAGGACTGTGGGTATCACAGCAGCTACACAAGGACTAGCCATCAAAGGGCAACTGAAGTAACAAATGTGCTACATGGGTGGTATATGAATCATTAACTGTTTTCTTTCAACTTTCCCTCCAGAACACCAGCATAACACAAAACAGAAAGGCAGTTTTCAATCATCTAGCAGTATGGAGATACAACATGGAAGTAAAGTCGAGTTCTAAATACAGCATATTCCCTGTGTTCCTGAAATGGGAAAATTAACTCGAGGTCCATCATATCTATAACATTTGATCCTCATTTACAACTTCACAAAACTGGAATTGTCTTCCCAACATTATAGATGATGAAAAAGGTTCAGAGGGCTTAAGGAGCTTTCCCAGATCAGAAAGCAACAAAGCCATGACCCTTGCCCAGTTCAGCTTTACACTGCAGCTAGCGTTCTTTCCGCTAAAGGTATTTGTTCCTCAAGATTGTTAGTAAAGAAGGAAAACTTACGCTGTGGCCACCAGGGATTCAGGTGATGTGATACATTGTTTTATCTTCAATATTAACATATTTATTTATTACTGAGAATGAGAGAAGTGAAAAAGTAGCTTGTCAAGTTTCAGCTAAGAGAGAAAGATTGAAAAGGAGGGTAAAGAGGGTTATTTCTTAGAATTATTAAAGTCTCATGTGAAGAATAAGCATAAAGGGATAAATACTGAAGGGAGGTTGGAGGGTACCTCTCTGGCTTGAGGACTAATGTTAAGGTTGGGAGATGTGGATATGTACTTGCCTGTTATATACAAGTTCCTGGATCCCATCTCTAGGACTTGAAAGAAGAAGGGAGAAGGAAGAATATGAATGTAGGCTGAGATACTCGTTCATTTCCCAACTGCTCAGACCTAAGTAATCACACAGAAACTATATTAATTACAACACTGTTCAGCCAATGACTCAGGCATATTTCTAGCTAGCTCTTACATCTTGAATTAACCCATTTCTGTTAATCTGTGTATCATCATGAGGTTGTGGCTTACCAGTAAGGTGAGGTTCCAGAAGGCATCTTTCTCCTTCAGCAGCCATATAGCTCTCCTTGACTCTGCCTACTCTATATCTGTATCTGTTTGGATTTCCCTCCTGGCTTTGCTCTGCTAAGCCATTGGCTGAAACAACTTTATTCATTAACTAATGGTAATAAAACATATTCACAGTATACAGAGGGGAATCCCACATCATATGAATGTGAAAATATTTGTATAGATACAAAGTATTTAGCAGTCAGTAGTAGAGAAAGTGGTATCTCTCATGGCTTTCTCATGGCTTTAAAGATGAAGGACGGAGTGACAATATTTGCTAGATGCATGGAAGATAAAGACTGGCTAAAACCTTTACACTTTTATTCCTTAAGTATAAGATGATGTGTGTGTGTGTGTGTGTGTGTGTGTGTGTTACATCTGAGTTCCTTCAACATGTGTCTTAGAGTTTCTACTGCTTCAATAAAACACTATGATCAAAAAGCATAAAGGGGAGGAAATCAGGTTTATTTTGGCTTATACTTCCATACTGTAGTCCATTTTTGAAGGAAGCCATAACAGGAACTCAAACAAGGCAGGAACTTCCTTTGATGATGAACAGCGATGTGGAACTGTAAATCAAATAAACCTTTTCCTCTCAACTCACTTTTGGTCACAGTGCTTCAACACAGCAATAGTACCATGATTAAAACAACATGCCAGTGGCTGGTGTAGTCCATGCTCAGATCGGCAACCAATCCTCAGGAGACTAGTTTGGACATTTTCTCAGTGCTGGGAATGTTGACCACAGATACCTCATTAGTTGCCTTTTCAGGAATTGCCCTCTACTGAAAAAGTCACTGTACTATACAGACTGCATCACTGCCCCAATGATACTATTATGGGGTAGAAGGTGTAAGATCCCCCTTACTTTTTCAGGATGTATCTACAAGCTCCTCACAATCCTCACCTGTCCTGGGCCTCTAAGGAACAGTAAGGTTTTTATATTGATGACACCATCTGCATCATCTTCCCTCCTTTACTCCCCCCGGGTTCTTATCCCAAGAACACTCCCCAGAAAACTTCCTGCAGAGAAGTCTCCATCACACTCTTCCCCCCTGCCCAAAGAGGCCTACTCATAGAGCAGCCTGTGTTCTCTGAGTCTCTAGTGAAATGTCAGTCAGCTCCCTTTTCTGTAGGCCTACATTCACACTCTAACTTTTACCAATGCAAAGGTGTTTTCATCTCCAGGTCCCCTCGCATTTCTCAGTTGGGATCCACATTCACAAGACAAGAAAGAAGGGCCGACTTTACTCTCTGATATCTTTGCTCCTATACTTCTGAAAGAGAAAGAAAATGCTGCCAGGTGTTTGGATTGTTCTTGACAGTGAGAAATATCAACTGAAGCATGTTGAGGATGTGAAAATAAACATGCTGCAGCATATCTATATCTATATCTATATAAAATCATATGACATATATATGTATGTATCTACACACACACACACACACACACACACACACACA